AAAGAGCTACCGCTCTTGTGTACTGTGTTGGCTTGTGCTTTCGTGGTTATCAGCCGTAAACTCTTCTAATACTTACATTCCTCGGGCCATAAGCCCTGCTGCTGTGTGCTGCTCTCGGCCGGCTGACCGCCCAGCCCTGGCTCACAACTCCCTGGCAGCATTAGTTTTGATGCATGGACCAGGAAGGTTCTAAGAGGCCAGGTGGTAGCGGGGAGAACCGTAGGGCCAGGGGTGGCAAGAAGGCAAAGAAGCAAGGCTTATTGGCAGACAGGGTGGCTCAGGGACTTCACCAGCCGGAACGTAGGTGGAACGAGAACCAGGTTTTGCCATCGAGGTCTCAGGTCCTTAGTGGCGAGGCTCCGATTGTAGGGCAGTATCAGTCCGTTTCTGTTGAATCCCCTCGCCAGCGCCAGCCGCGGGAGGAAGTAGAAAAATCTAGTTCTAGTCGTCCTGCTGCACCCTCTCCTGAGTCAGGCCCTGAGCCAGCTGCGAAACGATCACGTTTAACGGATCTTCCTGAGGAACTGCGTCCTCAACGGAGCCCGGTGATTGAGGGAGAGAGAGCTCATCCTAGGGAAAGCCCAGGAAACTTGAGGATTTCCATTGATTACCACGGGGTTCTGGACAGGGTTGGCACCAATTCTGATTTTCAGAGGCACATTCCTGAAGAGATCGTCACTGCACTAAAGGGGTTTTTGGAACTGTATCCCACAGTGGAAGTTGCTGTTCTGAGCTACGTAGGGCGCACCTCACTTAGTAGGCAGCAGAACGTCAGGGATCAGGTCCACCAGTTGAGCGAGAGACTGGGTAGAAGTATCCCCTGCAGAATTTGCTTCCGGAAGGCGGAAAAGGCCACCATTAGCAAGCAGTGGCAGACAAACGTGCACATAGACGATTCGGAAGACGTAAGTGTTGCTTTGGCCACTGAAGGAGTCACAACGCCTTTGCACATCGGAACCCTTTCGGGAGATCAGCATTGGATTGAAACCTTCCGTAGCCTGAAGCACGCCCTTCGCCGTATCCCACTCCTAAATCTGGAGCCGA